AGCTTCACATGTGGTCAATTAGGTTATATGATCAAAAGTTGTGCCATGCATGTGTCATTTGGTTGTTAGTATATGAAGGTGACTGGGGGGCCTTGTGCTTGTTAGGAAAAGGCTCATACCCCACTTGGTTGTTCTTCTTTAAGAACAAGTAGGGCGGAAACTTGTGGGTTGGGGACTATTTTTTGTTGGAATCCCTTGCTCTCCTCAAGAAGTTGGTTAAATAGGTGATGATGTCCAATAGTTCTTAATACTCATAGTGACTCCCCTTTCTATATTAGTAGTCCTATTTAGTTCATACGGTGATGGTAAATTCAATCCCTAGTTGCAAATGACTCTCTTTACTTAATTGTCTATATTTGTCATGGACATAGTTTAAATCTGTTCTAGTACTGTAGATTATGCTTCTTATTTTGTCCTTAAGTTATTTTGATTTTGTTCGTACTTTATTTTGATTTTGGTTATATATCATGAGATGAAAATTCTGTTGTAATTTTTTATTAGTTTATATATTTCTCTATTTCCCATAAAAAAAGTATGGTTTCCTAATTCATATAGTTTAAAATTAAATTGTATAATAAAAGATGATTAATTAGTCACTTCTTAAAAAAAATGAATTTAAGAAAATTAACTAAAATTTGATACGGTTTTGATTAAAAAATTAGATTTTCTAGTACTTAAATTGAGACATAAATAATTAATTATGAAACAAAAAGTAATATATTATATTGTTAGAAAGTTTCTTTTCATTTTTCTTTTAGAAAAGTAGATATAATTAATTATAAATAAATAAAATTAATTATATTAATATAACTACTTATTTTTTATATCAATTAATTATATTATAAATATAATACATCATCCTTTTTTTATAATTAATTTTAATGTGTCTCAATTTACATGCTAAAAATATTAATTACCTATGCCAAACTAATTAAGATTTTAGTCAACTTTCTCAAATTCTTTTTTTAAGAAAAGTAACGAACCGAACATTCTTTAAATCTAATAAATGAATCAACCGACCATTTGGATTCAACATTACTAGCTAGTAGCTAGTAGCCAGTAGGCACCACCCTTTACAGTTCTACCATTTATGTTCGATTCTAATTTACGGTTCTAGTCATGTGACTCATACTATTTTTTCAAATTAGTATGAAGCACCAGATGAAGTGTAGGGTTGGATAAAAAATTTGTCCTCTCTCTCCTAATCCCATGTTTGGAGAGTTCTTGGGATGAAATAACAATTATCCAGCATTTTATCCAATGCATTGTTCACTAAATAAATTTAATCCCATCAAACCCATGGGATAAGGGGGGATTGGATTAAATTTCCTAAATATACCCTTCTTCTCCTCTGCTTCTCCCTCGTCATAAATCACTGGCAACCATCTATTTAGATTCTTCTCTCACCAGTGACATTCTCTCTTCTGGCTGAGTCACCTCTCACTGCCTGTTGACATTCTCTCTTTTGGCTGATCATCCTCTCTCAGTGGGGACTCTCTCCCCTACATCTCCTTTCTCACCAATGATTTCTCTCTCCTCCTCAGGTCTGCTCCTGCAAGTTCACTGGATGGGCTTCACATACCTGGTTGCAAGGAAGGCAAAATCATGTCAGTTGCAACTACATCTGGTTTTTCTTTTATTTTTGGGCCAACAACTACATTTGGTTCAATTGCATATTTGTTAAAGAAGATGAACCTCTTTTTTTTCTTCCTTCTTTAGAAAAACAGTTTTAACTTGAAGCATTTTTTTAGGTTAAATGCTAAGTTTGGTCCCTTACCTATTTTTTATACTTTTTTAAGCACTCAACTTGAAATACTGCACAATTTTGGTCCCTCTGTCAATTATCTATGACATGATAGTTAAAAATTCCATAGTGGCATTTTCTTTAAATTTTTTTATGGCATGACAATAACATATCATACAATTTGATTACATATACAAATAAAAATATCAAATTAGATTAGCATTTATATTTTTAATAAAAAAAACTATAAAGTTACCATAATACCCTTGTCTCCCTCTTTTGTTCCATCTTCTTCCCCTCTTTTGACCCATCTTCTTCCTTTCTTTCTTCCTCTTCTTTCTTCCTCTGTGTGAACCTAGCAACTGCTGGGTTCCCTCAAACTCAGTTGATTTGGGGGTTCAAGGGAACCCAACAACTGGGTTTGAGGAACCTAGTTCTGCTGGGTTCCATTGAACCCGAGCTAGGTTTGATGGAACCTAATAGCTGGGTTCCTCGAACTCAATGAACCCAACAAAAATGGGTTTGACAGAACCCAGCGACTGGGTTATTTGTTGCGAATAAGCAATTGAGTTTATGTAAATAGCAGGTTGCGACGAATTTTTGGAATCCTTTTGCTTTATATTTCTTAACTATTGTCTAAATGATTTTAACGTTTAAAATGGAAAAAACATCGCCAGTGCTGGAAAGAGCAGAAGCAGTGACCGATGGGTAAGAAGCAATTTTCAGTGGGTTTCCATTTGCTTGACTAGAAAATTGTACAATTTGGGCATTTGGATGTTGAGAAAATGGTTTCAATCAGAGTTTTTGGAATAAGTATTATATTAATAGGTGTTTGGTTATCGAGAAAATTGTCATGGTTGTTAAGAAAATTTGTTGAAAAAATTGTGATTTAATTAAAAATTAATTGGAATCTTAATTTTGATTAAAATAAGTAATTATAGTTTAATGAATGAATTAAAAGGTGGGATCCATAGTTTAGTTGAGATGAAATCTGACATGGATAATTTTTTGTCCATATAAGCGTTTTGTTTTACTTTAATTTGCCACGTCATTAAAAGAAATAAAAAATGCCATATGGATGAAATTAACGGCTCAAACTAATGGAAGGATCAAAATTGTGCATCTTTTAAAGTTAAGGGATAAAAAAAGTGCAAAAAATAATTGAGAGACCAAAAACGTGTAACTCCATAAAATTGATGGACCAAAATTAACATTTAACCTTTTTTTTGTTAATTTGTGTTCTTTTTGGAATTTCAAGAAAAGAAAAAAATGAAAACGAAAATATTTCATAGGTAGAGGATTAACTGGTTTGCTTTCTTAGAAAAAAAAAGAATGAAATTGGGCTTTTTTTTTTTTTTTTTAGGGTACACCTTACGGTCATGCGTATAGTGTTAGGGCACGAAATCCTAATGCGAAATTGGGTTTGCGTATAGTGTTAGGGCACGAAATCCAAATGCGAAATTGGTTTTTTTTTTTTTTTTT